GTACAAATGCTTTTTTATATAAAGAAGTGATAATTATGAAGCAGTTCTTTGAAATGGAGGAATGTAATTTACTAAGAACTAAACTTAGTTTTGTATCTTGAGCAACATTGTAGAAGTAACTAGCTGAATAGCAATAGTTTTTAGAAATATAACAGCAACAATTATTTGTCAGCAAAGTAATCTGTTTGCTGGATAATATGTTTTCTAAGTTAGATCCTTTAATGGATTATGTGATGGCATATGTTCACAGTCTGAAATACTGTTTTGTTGAGGAGAAACACTGGACAGGTTAAGTAGGTACCTTTTATGTTACTCTGTGTGTGTCCTGATGAAGGTCTAAATGTGTCTGCATGATCTGGTCAGCCTTGCCCTTGTCCATAGTGCTAAAGTCGCTTATATTGTTAAGAGAACTCGAGGTTCAGCCATGCAATTCCTCATAAGGCCTGCAAAAAGTTTTCATTTTCTTTAGGTAAAGATGGGTTAAACTGTAGATAGAGTTACTAGCTTTGCTTGTTTTGCAGAGGTCTCTGCTCATGTGCCTTCTGTGTTGTATGCTAGGGAAAATGGATGGCTGCCATTCACTTCAGCATCACATGTGGAGAAATACAACCAGAGCAGATCTCTGAAGAGAAATGCTTTAACTCTAGTTCCTGCAGGTAGCTGTGAAGGAAGCTTAAAGAAAGCTTTAAGAGTGGTCTAAAGCATTGCTTTTTATTAGGAGGATGTTGCATTTCTCCATCTGTTTATCCTTTCCTAAGCTTGAATATTTATGCAAAAATATGCGAAAAAGATTCCATGTGCTGTACTTTGACTCTGCTGGTTTTATTTGGCATAAATAATTACAGAGAGAAAATAAATGAGAATTTCATTTCTTTGCAATTTTGTTAAGAAGGGAAGATGGATCAAGTACTAAAATAAACCAGATGCAGTCAGACAAATTCAAATGCCTTGCACAGTTTCATAATCATGCACTCAATTAACTCATAACAACAACACCTCCTGTGCTTACTGAAAAGTTGCTTTCTCTTTTACTTGGATTGGTTAGAAGGTCTTAAGAAATTTTGGATGGCAACTATTTATGGTGCATTGGATAAGTTTTACAAACAGTGCAGTAACAAATTCTGATAAAAATCCTGTCCTAAGCACCTACATGCTTACCAACACTTGGTGGGCAAGAAAAATGAGCAGGATAATGGCAGGTAAAAACAGGTAACACTGAACATATAAACCTAATTGTCTGGGGGATATGGTAGAAAGGATTAAGAAATTAGGGAGGTATCAGGGCTAAGACTGAGACCCTGAACAGATAGTGCATTTTAGGTTGTAGGAGCCTGAGTAATTTATACTGCAGACTTTGGTTGATAGCTAGATGATGGCCTTGATGCTCAGTGTAAACATAACTTTGTGTTGTCGTGTTGTGGGTTGCACTGGAGGTGGGTATTACACATGAGAAATAAGGCTGGCCTGGGCAAAGGTGAGTGTTACAGGAAAGAGTAGATGCTAGCAGTACCATTATTGCATTGCAGCTGTGCCATTGTGCTGTTGAATTCTGCAAATTCATCAATTTTAGGAGTCAGAGGTCAGCTTGACTCTTGAATGAGTCTGCTGCTTAAAAGTGTGAATTGGAAGTTTCCCTTAATTCACACTAGACTTTTGACCTCATTTTAGCAAATTCCTTGTTGATAAGTATTCTAAAGAATGAACAGTTTTAAAATAGATTGACTTTTCCATTAACATGAATGTATCTGAGGCTGTAATAATGCGGCAATGTCCTAGTCTGTTGTCCTGTCTTAGACAGTTACACTCATATTCATTTCCATGGCAGTTGATGTTGTGAGATGACTTCCATAAAAACTGTTTTTTAACACTGTATAAAACTTAGTGCCAATGAAAGCTATTAGAGGTGAGCTAGACAAAGCAGATGAAAAAGTATATGGTATAGCACAAAAAAATAGGCATTCAGATTTTTGTATCCTGCTGATATGTGTATCAGTCTTAAGACGTGCCAAGGGAAATATAGATTGGATATTAGGAAAAAGTTTTTCACAGAAAAAGTGATAAAGTTCTGGAATGGCCTGCCCGGGGAGGTGGTGGAGTCACCATCCCTGGATGTGTTTAAAAAAAGACTGGATGTGGCACTCAGTGCCATGGTTTAGTTGAGATGTTAGGGCATGAGTTGGACTTGATCTTGAAGGTCTCTTCTGATCTAGTGATTCTGTGATGTGCATGTATATATGTGTATATATATATAATTTTTTTGTAGAAAACAGGTTTTTTGTTGTGGAGATCCTAAAGGGGTTTAATAGATTTGTAGCTAGTGAGAATATATTTTTATTTCCTTTATCAGTTCGGAGAACATTGGCTCTTAGAGTAGTCATTACACTCATGTGTCTGCTTTATGTGACCTTGATAATTAAAGAAGTGTAGAATATGGGTTCCAAGGTCTTCATGATGTTCTGTATCTGGCAGCAGAACAGACATGTTTCTTTATTCCTCTCCTTTGGTTTCCCTATCCATGGCATGGCCTGGCAGTGATGATAATTTGTGTAACAAATCCTAAGCTTTCTGCTGAGCAAATAAGCCATGAATTAGTTGTCGGGATGGGGCAGTGAAGGTGCTGTGGTGAATTCTGACTTGTTAGGACACATGCATATTCAAAGAGTTGCATAAGCTTCTGAAAATGTTGGAAAAAAAATACTCTGGGATTTAGTAAGTTTCCTTCCTCCTGAGAGATGGATTACTTATAAGAACAATTCCCACAAATTTAAATCATCACTATACCAGAATTCCTGCAGTTTGTTGACACCTGGAGAGGGTGTGGATAAGTGAAAGAGTGTAAATTAATATAAATCCTTCAGTAGAGTTGGCAGTTGGTTAGTACTGAGGCTGTGGGTATTCACACAGCTTTAGAAATTGACAACAGAAACATTAACTTCTTGTCCCATCTTTTATGGAAGAATCCAGGTTAATAAGTGATTTTATCTAGTGGAGGCCTCCCAGGTGTCTGTCTGCAGATGAGTATATATTCTAGTCTCTGGCTAAAAGGAAAGTTTGATGATATTAGAGAACTTTTTCTAATGGGTTAGGCATGTGCTGAGAACACAGATCTACACTTTCAGTCTATTTAGCATAAAATAGTAATGAAGTCAGTGGCTGATGTCAGTTTACATGAGTTTGATCCCTGGCTTAATCTCTGTATAATGTGCTGTATTATTTACCTATTTCAGGTTGAGGAAAGGAACAAGAACTGTTTTTTTTATGTTACTAAAGGACACAGACTATAGCAGTTCATAACACAGCACCTAACTCTCTTAAGTATTCTGTGGGTTTCTGAAACTCAATTTTTTTTGGAGGATAGTTGTTCTTTCAGAAACCTCCTAAAATATAGCATCTGCTTGTACCTCTTACTTATCTGGCTGCTTTCAGTGATGCTTGGTTGGAGCATACAGTATTTGGAGAGGATTGTATTAATGACTAGTCCCACCTTCTTTCTGCTGACTCTGGTATTTTCTAATTGTATACATATTAGACTTTTTGGATGGTGATGAAAGGCATTTCTTTGGTTACTGTAATTGTAGTCAGCATGGACACAGCTTATGCTTTTGAACAGTGGCATAATTTTGTTTTGTTGTATTTTAGATTTAGACTAATCATCTTGGTGTGGCCCTGCCCCAAATTACTCCTAATCTTTACTTCTAGCAGAATCTACCAACCACCTTTTGATTCTTTTGTCCAGGGAAAAAGGGTGAGGAAGACTCAAAACAGCATTTGATCTTGAATATTTGTCAAATCGGTTATTCTTTATTTCTGTTTGAGAGAACATTTCTTCAACATGACACAATCTCCTTCCTTATCTCTAATCACTAAAAGAAGTGAAAGAAACATGCCCCATTCAAAGTCATAATTTCATATCCTGTGTTGTGCAGTTCTTTGCCTTCTAATTATAGTATGTTAACAAATATAGTTCCCTTCACACTTTTGTTATTTGTTGTGTTCAGAAAGAAAAGCTGAAACTGAGACTAGATAATTTTTTCATAAATCCAGATATCTTATTTTTAATATATTTCATGTTATTACATAGGATTTTAACAAGTAAACTATAATTATGATTCAAAAAGGAGTGTCTATGATAGTATTTGGCAACCATTGCAGAGCCCTTGTTTTAATCTCTCCTTGACTTTCCGCTTTAGATGGTGAGGATTTATTTGAAATGAGTCTGTTTTGCATACCAGATTTCACCATCCAAAACTAAAGCCTTTTCTGTACTGTGTCTGCTCTGCCTGGTCCAGAACTACTCAAAAAAACCCAATACAATGTTCATTTATTAATGAGTGAGAGAAGTTAGTATGGAACTATCTTTCTGAAGGCCAAATATGGTCCTTTCAGCATTTTTCCTATAACAAATTTATAGTTTAAATTTCTTAACTACTGAAAGTAAGTAAAATATTCTTTCAGTTGATACAGCTATCATATTAAAGACTGCATGAGATAGTAAAACACGATTCTGCTGTGCTGTGCAAAGTTGATTTATGGTTATACACAACAAAATGCTAAGCAAAACTGGCCAGCAAGGCACTGGCACTGGCTAAGGAAAGATTTTGTTCAGGAGATACCTAAAAATGTAGGTATGCAATTATATTTTCCAATTTCAGATGAGACAGTGGCGCAGATGTTTTCTTGTTTATAGCTTGTAAACTGTGCCATTGCTGTATCTTTTAAAGATACTTAGTATAGCTTCTTAAGAGAATTGCTAAGAGCAAGCAGGAGCTATCCTTGAAAACTTCTTGGAAAGTTTAGTTACCACAAGGTAAAATTACAAATTGATGCAAACTGTGCATACCTTACCATTGCAAATTTCCACCTTCTCCTGTCCTGTTTCTTGCATACGAAAGTAACTTTGGTTTTTAATATCCTACACAGACTTTGTTTTTTGCTGGTCTGTACTCTCTTTCTCTAGCCAGTTAGTATTAACTTGGAAAATTTCTGGCTCTGTATTCCAGCTCCAGTTGATTTGAAATACTACAAGCTTGGAAGAGACTTCTGCTTTTGGAAGTCAAGCTTTCTTGAATATAGAGGTACATCATAGATCTTCATGATCTGATTTTTAATGAAATAATCTGTTGTATACATTATGTCAATAATATTTTTTGTTTTTTTCTTATGTTCTTGTACTCCTGTTTTGGTAGCAAAAGAATATAGCCTGATGAAACAGAAGATTTGATCTAGACACATTTTGGTAAATATACATGCATCTTAATGTTTGTAGTAGCTTTCAATTTACTGTGCATGCTTTTTGTTTTAGAGTTTCAGCGGTGGCATGCTTTATGATAAGGTTTTTGAGGTAAAATTCCTCTTTGGACAGTTGGCAGAATGCAAAGGAAATAGAAATGGGAATTGGTTACTTTTTAATGAACTTGACATTTTCAAACTCTTTTCCCCCTCTCTGTGCTTCGCTTTTTATTTCATAGGTGCGCATACAATTCTCAGGCCACAGTTAGTAAATTTCTGTCATAATAATTTTAATTTAGCATTTTGATTTGTTGGCCAAAACTTGTGCTGACTGTGTAAGCAAAACAGAAGGATTCCCAGGCTTAAGATATAACAAGGGATTTAAGCATTTACATGTTTTCAAAAAAGGCAGTAGTGCTTTGGCCATGCTATGTTTGCTTAAGTGTGAAGGACAGAGGTTCTTTTAGTACGTTTTTAATGAAAAGATTCTTTTTGATCAAAAACCTCAACAATAACTGCTGTGTAGCAAGTAGCTATGGTTAGTTCTGTTACAGTGTGCAGGAAAGGGTATGTTATGGTTGTTTGAGTGACAGAGTTTAAACAGTATAGGAAGAGACAGAATTTTAGAAACCTTTCCCTTACTGAGGCATTTGCACTGATGTACATTATATAAACCAAGAGAACTTCCTATCTGATGAGGAAATAAAACCTTAACTTTAATACCTACCTGTCTCTGAGTATGTTAATGTTAATCACATCCCACATACAGCTGGGGGGCTTTAGAAGAAAGGCTGGGTTAGTATGATGGGCTTTCCAGCCCTTTTCTAGCATTTGCCAGATTTCTGATACTGTAACCATCTCTTTGTGGGTTAAAAATTTGTAGCTGCTCCACCGATGTTACGGTGGTGACAGTCTATGTGCAGCTTGTTGGGGCAGGCAGTGTGCCCTGTGCCTAGGCTTTTTAATGCCTAGGCTTTTTAGTGCCTCTTACTTCTGCCATGCCAAGAGTGCATGGGCAGAAGACAAAGGTTTCTATTACATGCTTCTGGCACTTCAGGGTTTGGGTTTTTTTTGTAAAGACACATGAAAATAGTATTCTATTACTCAGTTCAAGGTTTCATTTAAAAGACAAACCTATACTATATGTACTTGGAGTAGTCTAAAAATTCTTGTCTGCAGTAATGATATCCCTTCTCAGTATGCCTCCATAATGGATGTGTTCATTCCAAATGAATTCCACAGCTACAGTTCTCTGGGCATAAACTTGAGAAATAAATGGTCTGGATAACAAGAGAGACTTGTCTTGTACTTGTTAACCCTTACATAATGTAACATAAGGGTTCTAACATTAATATTTTTGTCGTATTTCAAAAATTTTTCAATTAAAAAAAAATTAAAAGTTGAAGTCCAGAAAATAAAGGGATATTTATTTTTCCTTCAGAAATACAAGTACATAGTAATGCCTACAGTGTAATGGGCATACTTCTATTCAAATCAACAGAGTGACTGTGATGCTTGCCATTTAAGAAAAAAAAAAGGAGCAAATATTAAGTGTTGTTTTGATGGCTGATGTAATGATGGTAAAACTAGTTTTGTGTCCCTAGTTTCTTGCTGTACCTTTTTTTTGTTTGAAATGTACTAGAATTTTTTTTCCCAGATGGGCAGAGAGTTACATAGTTCTGTGTTTAGACGGATGTTTGATGGTGGAGGGTAGTGAGTTCTTGCTAACTTTATAGACCATTTATACTTCATATGGACTTCATATGTTGTGACATGGACTCTAGTGTGTAGTTTGACAGAAAGTAATCTAGTGCAAATTAATGCAATAAGTTTACCCTCCTTTATTTTGTAGCACAATGGCTGAAAAATCGGTGAAACCAGCAAAACGATTATCCTCAGAATCAAACTCTCATGAGGGAGCTACGGCAGGAGAAATAAGTGCTCTGGAAGAGGCCTTTAGAAAATTTGCTGTCCATGGTGATACAAGAGCCACAGGAAAAGAAATGCATGGGAAGAACTGGTCAAAGCTATGCAAGGACTGCAATATCATAGATGGGAAGAATGTGACAACCACAGATGTTGACATCGTCTTCAGTAAAATCAAGTAAGTTAATTTTAGCCATAATTTCATTGTCTTCCCGCACCCCACCCTCCCCCCCAACAAATGTTTTGAAGATACCTTCTAAATTTACCTTCTGTTGCTTCTGATGTTGTGAGACACTGTTTGACAAAATCAATCTCTTTCTTGTTCCTTTACAAAATTTTCTTGCTTGGTCTGAAGATACAGCTTTCAGCTTCTGACCTGCTATCTTAAATTGACTTCAGTTTCACAGGTACAAAGACTATGATGTGATCAGGATAAATGCAGGCTATTCCAATAAACTAGTCTGCAGTAAGTAGTGTCAGTATTTCCTGAAAGATATCTGAATAAAGTCAGGATGTCAGGATGATCTTGCCAAAGCTTGGCATCAGAAGATAGAGGCTAAGGTGGGGTATGTACTAAAAGTCAGTATTCTAACAGCAGTCATGATGTCCAGCACAGCACCAGCTCAGGTTTGAAGTGTAGGGCCATGCCAGACTGATGGTGACCCTTGGCTATGATGAACTAGGATTGTCTTGGTCATCTAATCTTATTTTTGTGACTGGAAATTTAGTGAAACTTTCTCCCCAGTTGAAAACCTAGGCAGACTTAGTCAGAAACTTATCAAATCTAAGAGAAGATAGTAAAGGAAATATGTTAACAAGGAATTAATCTGTTATGGCATGTTCTGTATGAAGTCTCAAATAATTTTTTTGGTTTTGCTTTATGTGTAGAATTGGATTATTTTCCCTTTCGTATTCTCCTGGCATCTGATATGATAATCTTGTGTTTTCTGCTTTTTATTACTACACAAACTGTTTAAATTGTCTCACACATCATTGTGTTGAGGGACATGCATTTTGATGGGGTCCCTTAATTGTACCTGTAATCTGTAGGAACACTTACTTGGCTTGTGCACTCAACTGTTGGGGTGTAATGCTGGGAGGACATGCAAACTGCATGGCTAACAAGGTAATTGGAAAATCTTGCTACAAGTGCTGACTGTTTAGACTGCATGAAACTGGAGAAAGGCAGAGAAGAAAAGACCTTTAATCTTGAAAGTTGTCTGTGTAACTTATATAGTTAGAATGACCTTACTTATTTGATTGATTTCTTTCTTTGTTTCTTTTCTCCTTGGAGATCTTATCTAGATAACTGAAAACAGTACACATGCACACTCCCACCCTCTTGTCCTTTTATCAGTCTCTACTTGAATGGAGTTAGGTATACTATCAGAGAGCTGGCTTATTTGAAATGGATGTTTAGGCTGTATGGTTTTGTTTCTTTCTTAATCTGTGATATTTTCAAATTTTCTTTGGCTAACATTTTGTTTTATTATTTTCTGTCGGTAAATATAATAGTGTTTCTTTCTCACATCAGTTTCTGAGCTCTTTAGTGACAAGATGACCCCATGATATGGCATAAACAGATGTGCTGCATTAGCAGATATAAGGAAGTATCAGGTTTGGTGACTGTTGGGGAAGAAGGAATCCGGTTCTGTTGCACAAGAGTGAATTGTAAGGTGACAGGTACCTGAGCTTCACAGGGAATGTTAGCAAATCCCTTTGCTGCTGTTGAATGCTCCCAGCTCATCTTGGTGTTTCTTGTCTTTGTCTCTTGAGGGGGAGGGCTAGCTCAGCAGTTTCTCAGACCTTGCTCCTGTGACCACTGTTAAGTGTTGTCATTTCTCTTGGAAGAGGCATACCATCTTTTCCTCTGTCCTGTTATCCTGGTTTAACCTCAGCCAGTAGCCAAGCCTCATCCAAGTGGCTACTTGCTCACTCCCCCACCAGCAGCACTGAGGAGAGAATTTAGAGCTAAAGCTGGAAAACTTATAGGTGAGATAAAGACACTGTAATAGGAAAAGCAAAAGCCAGGTGTACAAGCAAATCAAAACAAGGAATTGATTCACTGCTTCCTATGGGCAGGAGGTGTTCAGCCATCCCCAGGAGAGTAAGGCCCCATCACATGTAACAACTTGGGAATACAAACACCATTGCTCCAAATATCCTTCCTCTTCCTCCTTCCACTTCATATACTGACCATGATGCCATGTGGTCTGGAATATCCCTTTGATCAGTTGGAGTCACATGTCCTGGCTGAGTCTCCTTCCAACCTCCCAAGCACCCCCACATTCATTGCCAGCGTGGCAGCACAGAAAGCTGAAAAGGCCTTGTCTTTTCTGGATGTGCAGAAGTCCTGTTCAGCAATAACAAAAATATTGCTAAATTATCAACCCTATGCTTAGCACAAATTCAAAATACACACCCACACCAGCCATTGTGAAGAAAATGAGCTCTACCCTAGCCAAAACCAGCACTCCAGTATTTAGTAGCTTAGTAGATAACTGCATCAAATGCAAAAGTATCTTAGTTTTTTTATACGCATAACATATATTTTATGTATTCTCTTTTAAAATTATTTTGTTTTCAAATTATATTGCTTAAGTGGCATATGGGAACTGAGATTTGCTATCTTTATTAGGAAGGTCTGTATTTTTTGAATGTATGCTTTCAATAGGTATATTTCCACAATTTCTTAACTGTTGGAGTTTTGTGGGTTTTTTACATTTTTATTCTTGAGTGTCAGCAATTCTTTTTAGTCTAGATCACATTTATTTCACATATAATATTTTAAGTTTTAAGTTTTAAAAAGGGAAGATGTGATGGCTAGAGAAACTCAAGTGTCAGTAATATGCTTTAACTTAGGAGGGCTAAGCATAAGCTGGATATACAGGATTTCTTGAGCATGTTCAGACAGCTGTTTTTCCTTGCTTTCTCTTCTATGTCACATTTAACCCTAAGCTCAAGGATAATGATAGATTTGGTAATACATCAAAGCAGGCATACTCATAATAAACTCACACTAATTTTTATTTTGCAAGTAGCTTTTTCCCAGCAGAGCTCTGTTTTGACAAACCAGGTTTTTCCCCATCTAAGTTAAATGTAAAACCTTAACCACTATAGAAGAATCTCCAACTCCCTCCAAAAGTGCAAAGTGCCTTCTATGCCTCAATAAGAATTCTCCTTATGGTTACCAGAAGGCTTTGTGCATCACTCTTGGTTTTGGGCTCTTGAGCTAAAGTGTTTCTCACAAGATTAGCCTCAACCTGGGATTCTTATGATCAGCCAAAGTGATGGTTCGGTGGGATGGGGCTGGTGGATTTTAGCAGTTGTAGGCTAGCCGGGGAACACAACAAATATTTTAAAAAATGTTTGCCATACCCAACCACAATTGCCATCTAGCATTGTATTAGACCTTCCAAACATATTTTCTGTTGGTTCTGTTACTGGGAAACCACTGTACCTAGCAGGGTTGTTTTCTAGCAAGCTATACTTACAGTTTATGACAATGGCACTTGTTGTTCAGACACTAGAAAATAATTAATCTAATAGAAATGTTCCTTATTTATGAGTAACTATGTATAAAGCCCACATTTGTTGTCTTGCTAACTTTCCCAGACTTCACTTATTATTCTAGTAGATATTGGCAAAATAGGTAGGAACTAAACATTGCTGATAGGGTAAAGTAACAAAGAAAATTATTAAGAGATATGTTTACCTAAGAGCTACTGGAAGATAATGTTTTATTCGGCTGTTGGCAACTTGCTGTGCTCCAGGAGAGGTTTTACCTCAGAAGTAATGAACGTCTTTATAGACTTAACACCCCCTCTTCACCTCTGCCAAACCAAGTGAACAAAACTTCTGAAAGTTTTAGATAATCTGTGGTACTTCTTGAAATCTGAGACCTATGTGTCTGTCTTTCAGAGATTAGTTCATTTGAAGTTAAGTTTAATGTTGTTATAAAGGTCGAAGAAATTCCATTGAGCCTTTGTTACAAATAAGAAAATAAGTGTAGAATACATGAGAATGTCAGGTCAGACTGAAATGTAGTTTGTCTGTTTATCTTGCATAAAAGGTCTACTGAAGGCCTTAATGTGAGCACAACATTTATATGTATTTGAGGATAAGCAGGAATAGTCTAATGCAAAGAATCCACAGTAGTAGACATGAAAGAATTATTGCTAGAATTGCATTATTCGGTAAGAAAATATGTAAATTGGGTGATTTCTCTGCTGCCCCCCCCAAATATTTTTTATAATAGTAATTTGTAGGGTCCCACAAGTCCTTCCAACTTGGTGGATTGTAATACAAGTTTGTTTGTTAAAATTGTTAGCTCAGAAAATACAAGAAATTAAGTAGCAAAGAATTTTAAATGGAATTACTTGAAATGAAAAGGTGAAGCTCCCTATGAGAGTAGACACATGTATGAATATTTATTATTTGAGTAGAGTTAAAACACTCACATTTATGCCAAATCTTTGGATTGCATTAATGCAGTTGGAATAGTCTTCAGTTCCTGTAAATAGTCTGCAGTTCTTTTCTTAATTTTTATGTTATAAAGCATACAATAAATGCATCTCTTATAATGTCATTAAGTTTCCACAAATCCTGTACTTGGAAGAGCAAAAGGAATTGTGAAGAGTGAATGACAGAAGTTCTACACTATCTTACAGGATGAAATCTGTTAAAAAATGTAGCAAAGCCAACAGAAGTGTACATAACTGTAAATGTAATTATGCAGTAAGCTTTCTTTTTTGTAGTTTCATGATATTGTACTCCTTTCTTCATGTGTTTCTTCGACTACATAAAACAGTAACACCATTTGCAGGGTAAATTTTAATTTCAAAGCTAGCCTAAAGTTACTTGCTTAAAGTTATGTAAAAGTCCCTTCTGCTATTTGGTACCAAGAAAACCTTTTCTTTGTAAATGGCAAAGGAAGCAACCCCTTCTCAGAAAAACACGGTTTATGGGATTGTTAAAAAAAAAAACAAGCCTGAAAATACTTCCTAGGAAGTGATTGTTTTTAACTGGTCCATAAATTCAGTGACATACTTGAAGACAAAGAATAAGTCACAGTCATATTCTATGGGAAAGGAAGTTTTCGTAAATTACTGTAGCTCTGTAGCTGAAGTATTTGTGACAGGACCAACACTAGTGCTCCGACTTCTTTTGTTACGATGA